AGATTACCGTTGAAGAGCGCCGATACCAAAAGCGGTCTAATCGCCTCTAACCACGATCACACAATGATCCTTCCATTGATTCTTACATTTAAACACACACATATATATATGTATGTATGTATGTATGTATGTATGTATGTATATATGTGTATATAGCTTTTCTGTTTTAAGTTATAGCAACTTTTAACTGATATTTTCTTAACATGTGCGCGTTTCGTAAAAGATGTAAACTATTTCATTAAAAAAAACGCCTTATTTAATTCAAATTGTAACTTGATGGCCATATTCATTCTAATAAATCCGGAAACTGAAAATTTACATTAAAAATCTATTAATACTTCCGCAGTTTACTTAGTACTTTAATAAAAAGTTTGGGCATTTAATTTATGAAGCGCTTAAGAACAATGCGATGCGATATAATAATGACGTCGGCATTTGCCATTATCTTTTAGTTAAATTGGAGTTAAGTAATCATCCTCCACTGTCATATAACCGATGAGTAAATTACTCTCTTCGCCGCAATGCGCCATTATTTCGCTGGGATAGTAAAAATTAATCGGCTTAGGCATCGAGTTGCGTCGGGAAAAATAAGATAGGCGAAGAATGCTCGTCTCTTTTCATAAAATAATTACTTCTTTTATTAACTCAATTGTGCGTTTCATTTAACTCAAAATATTTTCACGGACGCACCAAAGCAATACTTTAATCTCAAATAAAGAGTCCGATTACTTAGCAACTATTAAACGAAATAAATTAGAAAGAAATTCGACTGAATAAGCATATTTTTGCACGTACTTGTTGGATTTTTTACTTCACCGCTTATTCCTCAATAAATTTGCTCATTTTGTATTGAATATTATATAACGATGAGAAATTTGATAGATAAAATCGGCTTATAAATATAAATATAAATAAATCGTTAAGTTGATAATCCGTAATAAAGATAATATTGATATAATCTGGTAAAGAAATTTATTCCAATATGTCACTCGAGAATTGAAATATATTTAAAACTTTTAATGCCGTATTTATAAATTATAACATGCTTTATTGACATCTCGCCCAATATTTCCTAACAATAAACGTAAAGCTGATAAATTGAACTTTAAATAATATTGAGTGCTGGATGAAACAATGAAAATTCGCAAATGAACGTTTTATGGGTTATACGCAAATTTAATGTCATATCACGTACAGCCTCACTAAATAATGCCAACTAACAACATAAAACGATGTATTGATCGAACGTAAATAATATGCATACAAATATGTCGACCGTGCGTAATGTCCGTGTACGTGAATGACTCGAAACTGAGAAGAGCAATTTCACACATGGAATGCAAGTGCATAAATATGCATCGAGGGCTATATGTATTCCTGACTCGTATCATTCGCAAAACCGACGTATCGATAACCTACGTGCCTGTTAATTAACCTTCGTATAGCCCTTCGTACATTACATACATTAACCCATACGTCACCAATGCAATTTTCTGCGCACGGACATCAAAGTAAAATTAAAAAAAAAAAAAAAATATGATACTTACAAATTCCATTCATATGGAATATCGCGTGTGAAAAATGCAGTCGTACTGCGAGGTAAAAAAATTATTACTCTGTTCGAAGGTTTTGTATCGCACGAAATTCTGGGCTCGTGTCAGACGAAAGGGTAAGGCATTCGACGGAAATCTATTTGTAATACGAAATTGCAATGCAAGCAGTATAATGCACCGGCCGTACTTAGCCCTCCAGGAAGCATCGATCAGACCGATCCGCAATCCGATGGCTCGTAAAGCGTATAGAGTTCATATATTTCGTTGTCTCGAGCGAGAAGAGGGATGGAAGGGGGAGGGGGAGGGGGGAGGTGGAAGGGGGGAGTGGAAAGAAAGGCGCCGGCAAAGGGTGAGCGCTTTTCGTGTTACGACATCCAGCTGCAGTCTGAGAAAAATGACCCGTCTCGTAGTTTCTCCCTCTTTCTCGTAACGAAAAATCCGGCGTCCCCGACGATATATCAGATCGCGTCGCGTCTAAAACCGATGGTGCAACTTTTGTCCAATAACGCGATACGTAAACGTCCGTATATACACGGCAAGCGCGAAACCCAAGTCCGGAGTGGATAGATATATTTGCGCGATACCGGGGGAAACATCCCTCCGCCCCCTGCCGCCGCTTCACCCTCCTCTCCCCCGCTAGAACAGTCAGCGACATTATTCTTTTGCGAATTGCCGATGCGTTTTAAAAGTGGCTGGCTCTTTGTCGTAACCAGAATCGGGAACGAACAACTGCGCGATTCTGAGTGCAAAACATCATATAAAATCGAGATATGGTCGAACAGACAGATTCCGGTTTGTCCCCGGTCAGTTCTAAATCGTTACAGCCGAAAAAAGCATCGCGTACACGTATACACACGCGCGCGTTTTTTACTTTGGAAAAAAACCAAAGCAATTTTTTTTAATATCTCAAATGGTTTCGAAGATAAAAAAAAAATAAAACAAAACTTTTAATATTGTATTGTAGTAAGTCGCACCGAAATAAAAAAAAAAAAGAGTAGAATAAACACGACATGTGTCAACATTTTATTGACATATCACTGTATACACAGTATTTTATGTACAGTGATATATATTGATATACAATACATATATATCACTATCGTGATATCACCGTAGATTTTATATCGTACAATTAAATTAGGTCTGGTGCAGTCGTAATAATCTTGTAGTATGTTCTTTTATGTCAATTTTTTTTTCATAAATTTAAATTTAAAAGCGACGTAAGGAATAAGAATGGTATTGTAGACGGCAATATCTTATAACACACACATACGCGATTCTTGCGTGTGCGAACGTCACTATGTTAGAAGGAAGGGCGACCCTGTGGGACACCGGTACATGCTAGCAAAAACCTATAATACGGCACACACATCAAGCTTTTTTTTCTCTTTTTTTCCTATTGCCTCGTATAAGGTTCGGAAGGGAAAATGATATAGGTTAAAAATACGTGAGCGAAATATTTTACGCGCGTCCCCGCGGCCAGTCGGAAATACGTAGTATCGCCGCGAGTTCCTATTCTCGAACGAAACCGACGGACTCTGCGCTGGAAAGGAAAAAGATCGACTCTGGAAGCTATATCGCGTTTTTACAAAGAATCCTACGATAGATATATGGCCTGTATCAGGAGTCACGTGCGTGTTACACGAAAAGATATAGGATTGCGTTTTTGGAGTCTGTTAGATAACACATTTAAGAACACCAGACATAGTTGAATTATATTAGAAGACTCGTATAAATTGCCAATCGTGAAAATTCGATTATAGTAATCCTATCTTTCTCTCTTTATTAAATGAAAAATTTTTTCATAAATTTAAAATAAAAATACAGTGACGGCAAGAGAGGCATCCACTTGCCTCTGTCTTTAAGAAATGAAGAATAAGCGCGACGATAGGATAAAAATTCGAAGAGCCATACTTTTACGGCTTTTCGTAATGTGCAGAGCATATGGCACTTATGGCGGCTGTCGCTCCTCTAGAACACTGACTTCTACTTTACTCTTCGACGTTTCAGTATTCCGTCCACGCGCGCCAAAATCACCAAGTGGTAAAAACTTGAATAAGGGACGAGTGCAACGAACCTGAGATGTCCCGATACTTACAAATCCTTTTCGTTATATGGAAAAAGACAAGTAAACTAAAAGTAAGAATTTTTACGTCATTTTATCCGTGAACGAAAAATTGAAAAATAGATTTATTTGATATTAAATTTTAATAGAAGGATTGACAACTTTCTGCAGTTCTATTACTATCGATAAGTTCATTATCTTTTTCCTCGACATACGAATAATTTTTCTTCAATATCGCCTCGTTGACACAATCCTTCATTAACGAATAACACGAACCAATATTTCGAAAGTACGGCATAATAATCCGCTTCTTCATGCACTGTTTATACCACTCATATTTCTCCTTCATCGAGCCTCTTTGTCGAAGTAACTCCGCAAGACGGCTCGACTGTCGAGGTGCTTTCGTGCTCACTTTAATGAGCTTAACCTGAAGGCTTCTGACGTACGTCTCGACGTCGATGCTTCCCTTAACGCCGAGAGCCAGCTCTCGTAGGCTGCGCTCCGAACTCCCGTAATCATTTTCAACTTCGCAGGGTCGACTGCTTCCAGTCGCGCAAAATAGCCGGCATTTGTCACCATCACGGAACACCTGGGTGGAACAAGAAGAGGAAGAAGTGTAATCGGAGAAAATGGGCAACCTCCGTGCTTAATATCCCCCGAATAATGTGAAAATTTCAACGGAATCAACTGTCAGGTTTGCAAAAACAATTAACAGAATTAAATTAAACTGAGACATTTATATACATGTGTGTGTGTGTGTGTGTAACTTTGTGCCTCTGCATCATTAAACTTGATTAATACCTCCCTTGCGATGCTTTTATTACAAAATATAATTTCAGCAACATGTATACGATAAATTCGTTTGTCGATATTTGAATATTTAATGGTAAGTTTTAACGAATCCGTAATATTAAATCTGTTTGCTTACAGATATCCAATAGCGTCCCATAGCTCTCTGCATATCGATCAGGGCGTTTCTGTCTGCCTCTTTAATACCGAAGAAAACGCGCACTCGCAATAACTTGGGCAACGGCTGCTCATTTCGCTTTGCTAAAACTTCTCTCTGGATTCTTTCAGGAACTCTCTGATCTTTTTTGCCAAAGGGGAATAGCCAGTTGTACGGAAATGAATAAGTGCTCCGCGATAATTCAGTTTTTTCGTAACCCATCCGTTTGTCAGATCTGATCTGCGCATATTTCTGTCGTTAAATTTACCAACCTTACGACGTTAGAATTAACACAATATACATTTTTGTGAATTAACGAGAATAACTTTAAAATAATATTTTAATCGTTATAAAACTATTGTTATATATATATATANGGTCTGACTGATATAATAATCTATTATTAATTATATGAAAGAAAACAACGCATATTATATGCTGTTGCGATTATCCAACCCGATATTGACAGGATCCCGATATTTCCTTTGATCCCGACTCTGGTTCCATTGGCATAAATGTAATCAAGCGACGAAGTTCCGGTCGACGTGAAATTGGATACTGGATCATGCTCGTCTCGTCGCCCAAGACGGCTGCCAACTCTCGCTCGTGTCTAACCGATCGATGAAGGTACTCGCAAGCTGTCAGATCGCGATTCATCGCGAAAATTCTGTATTGACTTCTCGTAGGAAACTTGAGCATTTCGCAATATCGTCCGTGTTTGCGATGGATCCTTGTCCCCGAGTTGCCGTCCTCCCCTTCGTCGCTTCCCTCTTCCACCCCTTCGTTGCTCTCGCGCCTTCTATACGGACGACGATAACTCGTAGTACCATCGCATTTAACCTCAAGCACATTCCCAAGAATATCGATAGTCGTGAGAATCGTTTGCGGACCGCCATCGGACGATTTCCGAAACTTATAAGTTGATATCGACCTTTCGCCACAGGTAGCACATATCTTCGAGAACGTCACGTCGTCGCGAATCTAACGATATCGCGAAATCGTTTTAGGGAAAAAAGGGGGAGATGAGGAAATGTTGGCGGAAAAACACGCGGTGGGAAAATTGTATAGCACGCACCGATAAAATTTTAGCTATTCTCGTTCAGAATATCCGATAAATGCTCGCGAGAAATTTACGATAATTACACGTCGTAGTTACCGCTGATATTAATACATCTACGTTATCGAATACGCGCAACTTCGATTACCTTCAGATTAACTTTGTCCTCCATTGAAACTTCGTAATGACCTTCTCCCGATATGCTGACGCGAAGATTGTCGGGCATCGATAAAGTACACCCAACCGCTGACTGATCGTAGGACACGGTAGCGTAATCCTCGTGTTCCATGCGGAAAGTCAACAAGATCGAGACAAAACCATCCGCGATCGATATCCCCGTCAGTTTCTCTCGGTAATCGGCGTACGGTGCGGGCGGACCTTCGTGCGAGAATGCGCTATCGTGGGACGAGGCGACGTTAATTCGGCCACCGTATCCGAAATATCGCTGCAATTCGTCCTCCGACCATTCGCAAATCGCTGACTGTTCCTCTATCGTGTAACCGGTAATGATACGCGTGCCGTCTAAAAGAGAAAAATATTGATGGAACGCAAACGGGATTGAAAGACGTATTAATTTTTACCATGTATATCTCGAGACATTGATTACGCGTATACGATACCGGGAAAGATAACGACCAATTCTCCATTTGAACGAAGCAACGTATCAGTACCATCAGCACGGCGTGTGAATACCTCGTTGACCTCGTAGTCCGACGTGGTCCTAACGAGCAATCTATCGTGCTCACTTACAACCAGATCGTTCAACACTTCGTAGTGCCGACCGTCGTAATTTACTACTGAGTATCGTAACACTTTATTCGCTCCTATTATCAACGAGTCGACTCCGTCGCTCTAAAAAACAAAGGTATCGAAAATAATTTTCTTTTAAGTGGATATTATAGATATTGCTTTTCTTTGCGAAATTAACAAGATTTTATCACGACTTATGATCAAAATGATAAATTAAGAGAGAGGGAGTGCAGCTGTGTACGATGGAAATGAAACTATCATTAAAATCTCAATTATATTAAATTCTTCCAAACGCTTCCGTATCTCAGTTAGATCGAAACTTAACGGTCACGCGTTTCCCCGACGGAAATATACGTTGTTTCGGCGGTTGCTCGTCCACGATCGATCCGTTGGAACGCGACTCCGTGGAACCTATGACTTTTTCTCTGCTCTTGGCTGCCATCGAGTTGCTCTTTTTGTATCTAAATTCTGCAGAGGAGAAATTTTCGATTTATCTAAAAAAAAAGATATTTTTTCTCGTTTCCATCGCGTTTCAGTGTATACCTTTTAGAGTCGTCTGGTGAATGGATTCGTCGTACGATTGCGACTCGTCGAAATCCATGCACGTCACAATAACGCTATTGGGACGGAGAATGACGACAGTATTGTCGTCCATATACTTTAAGACGGTTCCGTTCCTGAGAAAGTTCCGGTAGACTTCATGAGCTGCACTTGCACGTTCGAGACGTTTCGAAATGTACGATTGACGAATGCAAAACGGATCTTTTGTGTCGTCCTCGATAGCTGGTTCTATCAATAACCCGGAAGGCCACGAAGCACGAAAGTCGAAAGCCAAATTTCGCCAATGGCAATCGGACGAGCTCTGAATTGCATCTGGAAAACGGAGAAGAAATTATTTGATAAATAAACTCATTTCTTTTTTCTAAAATTGTCTACCATATGACAGAATCGTTAGCTATTTTATAATTATATCATTGTTCGATAAGCGTTAATACGTATTTAATGCCTCTCTAGAACGCATAGAAATTACATACCGAAATCCTTGTTTTTATTTCGGCAGAAACCCAATACAATTCCTCCCTCCGTAGTTAAATGGAATGTGTTCTCTGATTGACGGCGACCACCTCCGCTCGACAATCGTAAAGTGCAGTGTTGTAGAATAATGGCGATGCGTACATGGAGGTCTCCGTGAAGCCAGTCCTCGAGTTCGACTCGCACCGTCGTATCGTCCAAAAGAAACTTCTTGCTATGATGAATCACTTGAACACGAAGACTACCGAGATCGTATCCGACGAAGTCGTACGATCCGTTCTTCTCGACGCATCGAGACGATAGAATTTTTTTCACCGATAAGAAGGATGTATCGACGTCATCTATTCTCGTGGCCGATTTTTTCTTCGTCGATGACGTTTTTCCATTCGTAACTTTTCCATCCGCCTGTTTGCTTCCGTTGTCCGTCATCAGCGCCTCGTTTCGTTTCTGTTCCGTCGTTATTACCTTCCCCTCAACATTCTTCTCCTCGCATTCCATCGTTTCGGAAATTTTCTTTTGCAAATCGCGATCTGGACTTTTCTTGAGATGACGCGCTTTCAGCGAATCCGAAAGCACGAAGCATTCGTCGGTGAATATGATCGCGTCGTCTTCCATCTCGATGGGTCTCTTCATAAATCTTCCTGTCAGGTCCATCCTACGCGATTGGCGTGTCTCCCGTTCCCGCTCTATCCAATTCTCTTCCTCTTCTGCGATATATTCGCAGAATTCTTGAAGTCCGATGGACGTACGTATAGACGACATGCGCCTTTCCTCGAACACGTCATCCACCCGGTTGTTGTTGCTAAAGTAAAGGAGCATCGAATCCGTCGGCTCGAAGTATCTAGCCGAGAAACGATCGTAACGTTGGAAACAGTCGTGAATGACCTGAAGAAAAACACGGTCCGAGAGTAACTCGACGTCTTCGTATTCTTCGAGGCTCGATCTTTCGTAACTTCTCTTCTTAAAAATATTTTCGTGCAAATATCCCGGAAGCAGCGTTTCTCTAGTATCCGTTAGCGCGAATAAAAGCGGGCACTCGGTAAATGCGATTACCGGCTTATCGTAATCAATTTCGGTATCGCTCTTGAAACGGCGTAGACTAGATACCGGCAACGCAGCAAGGTTTGGTACGCTATGCGTTCTCTTAATCGTCGTTCGTGCGTGTTTTAACGTTGACAAGTCTTCTTTCAAGGGCTGCGTCAACTCTGCTCTTGCATCGTAATTGTCTTCGGAAAAAATCAATTTGTCAAACATTAGTAGGTGCAGGTAATGCACGATTTCCTCGCGACTGATTGTTTGCTCTCGATTAAATGTACGCGCGATGTTATCTATATGACAGAAATATATATCGCTTTTTGATCTGGTTAATATCTCGCGATTCTGCCAAGTATTAATTATTCTCGGATCTCGCAGGACGAGTAGAACCGTGTCGTTTAAATCGATGGACCTTGGTCGGAGAAAATGACGAACAATCATGCTCAAAGTATCTCCGTACGGTATAACTTCGAGATCGAAAGGCAACGATGATTGACCGGTGCTATCGGCATATTCATCAATAAGTTCGTACTCAAGATCAAGCAGTTTGAGCTTGTCTCGCACAGCGAATACGGGGATTCGTTCAGCTGTCGTTGATATATTCGCGCGCCTCATATCCGCATCGCTAAATCCCGTATTACGTTTGACGGGGTCACATCCATCGTAAGATCTCGCAAGATTAGATTCAACCTGTAAAAGTATCGCACCCAATATCAATGGAACGTTGATATATTCGTTAGGTATATCATTTAACGCATCCTCGTAGATCTTCGTATCCATCGCTTCGTCCCTCTTATCAATGATTCCCTTCTCCAGTCTCATGCTTTTGAGATACTTCGCGTGTTGTAGACAAAGATCATACAAATGATACAAAGTGCGAAGCGCTCTTTCATATATGTCCTGCTTTAGAAACTTTTTCTCGGTGATGGTAAAAGTTTCCGGTAGGACTGCCGGAGAAAAGGTGAGAATAGTTATGTCAGAATATGTCGGATACGCCAATAGATTAGCAAATCTCTCGCGTGTAACCGTCCAAAATTCGTTTAGCTGGTTCACGTTGATATGGTAGTCTTCAGAGAAGTGTATCTTGTCAAGGGAAATGAAATCCTTTTCCTTCGTCTGATACGCAACATATCGTTCAATGGGAAGTTTAATCTCTAGTATACAGGTCAGAGGAACTCCAATGTTTAATAGTTCTGCTGGAAAATCGGGATCGTGAAACCCGCTAAGTACAACATAGAGATTCGGTCCTTCAAAAGGAACATCATCCGCATGTGAACGCGCCTTCACTTTGCCGTTGAATGCATATTCAGTCTCGTTACTGTAAACTTTTCGGAACCTGATAGTGTTTTGCGAAGAAGCTAAATAATTAAATTGCTATTATGTGCAAGTTGTATCGCGAAACAAGCAAATAAGAAGAGCCATTAATTAAAGAATTTTATTTATATATATCTAAGATTGCAGTTTGTCGAACAGAAAACAACGATAGGATATTTATTGCCAAATATAATACGGTTATTATTGTTAAAAACTCATCATCATTTTATTGTTCTTGAAAAAGAAACGACTAACATATGTCATTTACTTGAGCCGGCAATATTTGGAATTGCCCGATATTCTTCGTCGATTTCGCGGTCTAGATCCGCCTGTACCTCAAGTCTCCCGACTTGCTCGGTTTTGGCGCGATAAATCAGATACTTTATGATCCGTGCAATGAGCCAGATGGACAGATGGCCATTGTTTTCGTTTAAGACCGCATTCGCGTAATGACAAATACCCACAATGGCAGGACATTTTTCTGGAGCTTGTTTCGACAGCGTTTTCACCGTGTCTATTGCTTTCTGATGGCTGAGGGAATAAATACACGTCCGCTTCCCTTCTTCTGCGGCCTCGTTGAAGAGAGAGACGTAGCGGCTGTGCTCGACAATTGTCTCTACCATCATCGTCACTATACACCACCAACGATCATCGTTGATGAATATGGAATCTAACGCAACACGCCAATCATCTTTATTATGTCGTTTCTGAATTTTATTAATAATGTTAGATTTTTTAGATCTGTTTTTCATATATGAAGGTTATTTTATAACCAATATGACTGAGAGTATATACATGATTTAATAATTATGTCACATGAACAGATTATCGAACAGATGAATACGTAAGATAGCGATAATTTTTGTCAAAGCGCATTGCGTTACAAATTTATTGGATCTTAGTAATTGGCTGGATCAAGCGAGTTTTCAATAGGCTTAATCGATAGCTTGGGTCTCAATTATATGTATAAAAACAGTGTCTTTATTTTAATCTATATGTTTCATAAATGAAGATATTACAATGCAAAGTTCCAATATAAAATTTTTTTATTTTTGGGTGGGCGCGCGTCGTCGTCATAATCGCCTTTCTATCCTTTTCTATTACATATGTTTGCCCTTTTTCATCGTTCTACTTTTCTATGATCTAGAGCTACGTTCCAAAACGTACTCTCCGAGGAAAATTTTACTCAATGGCCGTTCCGAAACTTTTTGGAACGTTTCTGATTGTTTCCAGAGCGATCATCAAGTTTTGGAACCTAGTTTAAATGTTTAAATTCGGATTGAAAACGCGTAGTAAAACAATCGAATTTTAAGTTCAACTAGTTAAGTAGCTTAACAAAAAGTTCCATAATACATCAATCATTTAAGGAGGCATACTCGTTTGAAATTTCGAAAAACACATTTTCTAGATTTTTTTGCAGCGCAACGACTTGATAAAAATTTTTAATTTTTTTACGATATTAATACAATATTGTTAACTACATAAATAAAATTTTTCAGCTCAAAAAAATTTTTTTTTTTTTAAGTTATAGAAATATTTGCAGAGCTCCAAATTTTAAGTGGCTGCACGATGTGCATGAAAACGTTCGTAGATCATATCTGAAATCAAAAATACAAGCTTTTTTATTAAACATATTAGCTATCTGCTGTTCAAGCGTTTTTTCAAAATTTTAAAAGATAAGAAAATAGCGGCATGTTGAAAATAAATTTTGTTTTTTTGAAAAAAGTTCTTTTTTTTCTTTATAATAAAAAAATGGGTTACCGGATTTAAAAAAAGGCTTCGTTAGCAGATGCAGAATCTTATTAGGAACTCACATGCAAAATTTGAATTTAATCCGTCGAACGTAGCTCGAGTTTTCACGCACACCGTGCATAAAAACATAAATCTGCAAATATTCGCATAAATCTAAAAAAGAATTTTTATAAGCTGAAATTTTTATTTAAGTACTTAATATTATTGTATTAATATCGTAGAAAAAATTTTTTATGAAATCGTTGTGCTGCAAAAAAATCTAGAGAATGTACTCATTTTTCGAAAGTTCAAACGGGTATGCCTCCTTAATAAATAATTAATCTATAATTTAAAATACTTCTATAATATAATATTAGTGAAAATTGAAACAACAGGAGTACAGAGTATAAATTATCGTTTCATTATACAAATCTTCGATTATAATCAATTCTTACGAATGATAATTATTTTTTCTATTTTTCGTGTTGCTCTCTCGTCGTAACATAATGAATAACGCATGCGTATTGCGTGCGATTGTTCCGCGATCGGAAGTGCCGTGCAATGCGTGCCGCCATCGTCGCATATTCGATTAATCGTAATTAACCGTGTTTTCGCGAATGAGTATAAATGCCACAAGAAGACAGCAAAGAATAAGCAAGAGAGGAAAAGAAAGTCTAGGAAGACGTTGGGCGACAAACAGAGCAACAATATGCTGTGAGTAATTTATAAATTTATTTATGATTTATATTATTGGTTTTGTAAAATGAAATTGTACATTTTTATAGCGTAACAGTTACATCAGCACGAATAAATGCTGCAAAGGCCGATCGACGGTTCTTTCTTCCTTAAAAAAAAAAAAAAAAAAAAAAACAAAAAGAGAACAATTTCACACCGGGACACCGGTAATGGAAAACGTATTACCGGAGTCATAAGTTTCGTCAGTAGGGACACAAGCTCCCAACATTATAACATGGATGTGCAGGCTGTACTTAACGACGAAACTCCGTGGAAACTGTAATTTTCGTGCAAGGGGAACGAAAAAGTAGTCGATGCCGTGCGCGGAACGCGTCATGCCACGTGTAAAATACGGACGCGGTTGAAAAAGTTAAACAAATGGGACGCCTAAACGCGTTTGTGTGTACATGACACAGGCTTACGCGTGTAACTGTTTTCGCACATTAGTATATCTCAGGTGCAGATGACGAGGCATGCATAAGGCGATAACAGTTGGAATGTTACAATGTCTTAATCGTTCTCTTACCACATTTGTTACAATGTATATAAAGTTACTTAATTATTAATATATATTTTTTAATTTTGATAACACGAGTTGGGGAATCTTGTTTTCCTATTAGCAATATCGATTCTCTAGGGAAAATATTACTTAATATTAAATTTATACGAAGATGTGACGCAATTTAATTGAAACATCTACAGTAACATATAAAGGTATTATCCTCGGCACTTTATAAAAGATAAAAGCACACAAGTTAAAACTGTGTCAGTCACGAAAAAGATAATAAAAGATTACAAAAACAGATAATGAAAAATTACAAAGAGAAGAAGGCAGCTTAAAAATATGAACGTGTACATAATGGATTAACAGCTGCAAAAAAATTGCTACCGTGAATAATGAAATAAAATAAGCATCTTATATTCTTTCAAAATTCTCCTTAGTCAATCGACACATTGATATCCTTTTTTTATTTTTTCATTACTTTAGAAGCTATGATATCAATTCGACTCATCGTTTAAACTGCCAAGGTTTGCGAGTAAAAAAATATTTTTTCATACTAATTTATTTTTACACACATTCGATTTCATTGTCACTCTGTTAAATTCATTACGTTTACAGGAAGATTGCGAGAACGGTATGTGGGACGCGTATAGAGCTCAGGACTTTAATTAAATTTGATAATGGAAAAGTTTATTGAGAGAGCTGCAGCGAAACTAAAGGCAACAAAAAGAGGGAGGGATGAGGGAAGATGACACGCTAATTGGCCAACAGTTTAGCGTCCAGCGCGCAAGTGTGGCATAACAAAAAAGCGCGCGTACCATCCATCCCATTATATTTCAAAACAGCGCGCGTACGTTCACCACTCGCAAGCGAGAGGTTTGATTTTAATTAAATCATAATTTAGTTTTGTCGGTCGCATAGCTCTATGCACGGTGCCGCGACTCCAACAAGCTCCTGCTCCTCTCCATCGCGCGCGCGTCTAAAGCACATCGTTATCTCAGTTTAGTTCCGGCCGTACTGTTTCCGGAGAGGCGTTGAAACAACGAGGCGCATCGCGATAATGACCAAGGTACTCGGAGTAGTATCATTCGCCACATCTAAGTCGTCTTAATAAACAAATCTTTATGAATTGTTTCTACAAAAGAAGCACACGCAAAGAAAAATATAATTATATTACTTTACATTGTGACAAAAGTTGAAATTAAGTCAGTCGTTTTTTGCATTGACGGTTTGCGCGCTTATTTTCATCAACCTATCTTTATACGTATATATATCTCTGAATTGTTTTCTTCTGTAAAAAAATTGTACCCATTTTATAAAAATAAGAAATTGCAATTATAATATCGTTCTGTGAGAAATATTTTTCTTCATTCATGTACATATTTTAAATAAATATGTATATTTTTTAAATACATTTTTTATCTTTTTAACTAATTAAATAGAGCTTTCGCACAATTTTACTTTTTTAACAAATTTATTGTAGATTGAAGTTGGCACGCGCTATATGTATGTAGGTAACAATTATGAAAATAAATATTTACACAAGATGGTGGGGCGCAGATTACGGCTGCGCGAAAATACTTTATTTTCCCGTAATGCGGTTGAATGCATACATGTATTTTGAGGTAGTGAATATAATTTCGCGATTATAATAAAATATTGAATTTTATATAGAACAGACGGGGATAATATTTCATCTGTTTATCTACCATACTTAAAAATTTATTACTAAAAAAATGTATTTAACGTTATAGAAAATATTCTATCAATAACTTGCATATTTTTTGGTAATTTATACAATTTTATTATCGAGAAAAATACAGCGTGTTAATTAAACATTAGACTTAAATCAATTTGAAGCAGAATGAAGATTCTTTGGTATTTGCAAAATCTGGAAATGAAAATTTACAAAATTTATGTGTGTACTTGTGAAATTATTCTCTGTCGTTACTGTATCATTGAGAAATTTTGCTATCTATAATACTTTCTGAAAAGAAATGTTTGAAAAATCTTCTCTTCTTTCTTGTGAAATATAATGGATCTGTAGAGCAAATAACCGGAAAGGATACGAAATAGAAGCGCAGTTAACGGTCGTGCAAACAAAAAAATGAGTCGGAATCAAATCAATCAATAAATGCAGCTGTTATTGTATCAGACAAATATCGTGCATTTTTATTTTCATTTTCTACTGCTTGCTGTGACCCCTGCAAAAAACTTTGTACATCTCCTTCTGCGCTTCTCTACCTGAAGGTATGTACTCTCGCTACACGGAAACACTTCTGACAATTGAGATGCAAAGGAAGAAGGTACGGAATACTTTCCTTGTAAAGAAGAAGCGCCGAAGTAACTAACAAAGTTCTACTCGAGTTACGAAGAATCAGGGGGTGTATCTTTCTATACATAATATATTAGACTAGAAATACACAAACTTTGGCTATTTTGTATGTAATATAATGAATAATCAAAATTGGTGAAAAATATCTTTGAAAAGAAATGAACTAACTAATACCAATATATTATCAAATTGCACACACGCACATTTGTGCATTAACGTTGCTCCTATCTCATGATCACATTTAACCAAACAATTGCAGCGTTGTAATTTCGATTCTCTTTAGCCTTTGAACGTCTGCATTATCGATATAAAAGCTATAAAAC